ATGTTGCCAATGCCATTGTATGGTTTATTATGGGCTATTTGTGAATTTCAGCCTGTAGCTACATTGATATTTGTCTTTTCATAAACTTTCCTGTTTTATTAATGAATCAGTGCATCTTGTTCATTCTGGTTCCTGATCTTCCTTACCACCTGTCCCCTCTTTCATTTCTCCACTCCATGCCAAGTTCCATTCCTCTTCTTTGGGCCAAACCAGATGGCAGCCAAATAATCCGTGTTGATGAACACTCATTAACTATAACCTGCTCCAAAGGGCCTCATCACAGGGCTTTTTCAAGTTACATTAAAATCCTTGTGCAAACAATGCTCTTGAATGGAGCATTTAGTTATTAACTCTTTAGCTTTGGAATTCCCTAATATTAAATACACCAGTGCTAGTGCCTATTCCAGACCGCTAATGTTATCAACTGGGACTGGTTACAGTAAACATATAATTCCCCTATTAGAGCAGCTTGACCAGCTGCTGATCCATTTCCAGACACAATTCAAAGTGCTGGTTTTAAACTACAAACTACCTCTCCCTCTATGAGCCTGTCTGGACATTAACATCATTAAGGAAAACCTTTCTCTCAGTCCCACCACCCTCACAGGCGCATTTGGTGGGGACACAGGAGACAGCCTTCTCTGCTGCCACTTCCAGTCTCTGGAACTCTCTCGACGAGAGGCCAGGCTGGGGCCATCTTTGCTGTCCTTCTGCAAGCAAATAACTTTACCTGCAAGTTGGGTTTCTTTTAAATGAATGGTTGACCAAGAAAAAATTTTAAAGTATTATTTTATTCTGTTGTTTTATTGAGCTTGTAAAATTGCTCTTATTTATGAGTTTTAATATGACATCTGCTTAATGCTTTTTAATATTGTAATAATTTATTATTTAGCTTTTTAACTTTGTTTCTTGTAATACTGTAAGCTGCCTTGGATGCTTTAGAAAAAAGGCTGTACAGGATGTAAATATTTTAAATAAACAAACAAAGGGTCTCAGTGATTAGCATAGTGAACGGTGAATACAAAAGAATGTCAGGAATACTTTAGACAGGCTTTCAGCTGACAACTAATGTCCCACCAGAAGCAATACCCTGTTTTCGCGAAGGCTTTCACGGCCGGGATCTAATGGCGG